TGATGGTGATGATTAGGGCTGGGTATCGTTTCTGAATTTTATCGATTCTGATTATTTTCGATTCCCAGTTTCGATTGCGATTAAATGTGATTAAATAATGATATCAATTTGTCCTGTGCCTCTTTTTTTGCGAATAATTTAGTTGCAGCTGAATGCAATGAACAAAAATCAGCAGGCTACATACAAACTGGACTCTTTAAGAGCTGTTTGTGTGCAAAATAGAACTGCATGATTCTGGATAAATTTAGTTTTTTTTTCCTCAATGGAAGTTGTGGTTCTCTCATGATTCTGAAGAAAAAAACATTAGACAATTAAACAAAATCATGTAATTTATGAATGAATGATTCAATGACTCACTCGGTTTCATTACTGGATGAATCAGCATTCTTGAACGAATCTCTTGTATGATTCAGAGACAAATACATTTTAACAGCCCCTTTTCGCCACCTACTGGCGTAACACTGTAATCAATAAATCTTCATTTGAAGTGTCCAATTACTTTCAAAAGGTGATTTACTCTATTTTAATTGCTACCGTACACATCAGAGTTTATATAAAGAAAATATAAACGCAGATTTAAATGTTCAAAACACACTGGTGTGATCATACGCTGCACAGATGAACCACGTGATCACAACATTGATCACACACATCAAAGGTTGAGGAATGAAACCGACAAATCATTGTAATATAGGAATTTACAATTACGTGTTCGCGATCTTTAACGATCTATTAAATTAAAGTGCTTTGTCATGTTGGTGGTGACGCCTCTCTTGCAACATGTTTAGCTATCACAGATATTATACTTAGCTTTTTTAGCTTCTGATCGCAAATGTAGCCAAACTTTGCAGCGCTTAGATTAACGAGCAAGGTCCTGGCAGATCGCTAGGTCCGGCCCTCACACATGAAGAAAAAAAAAGTGCATAGGAATCTAAATTTTAATTTGACAACAAGTATCCGATTCCTGACCTTAAGTATCCGATTCTGGAATTGGAATTGATTTTCGATTCCCAATCCTAGTGATGATGACGATTGATGATGATGATGGTAGTGATAGTGATGATGATGATGGTGGTGATAGTGATGATGATGATGGTGATAGTGATGATGATGATGGTGGTGATAGTGATGATGATGATGGTGATAGTGATGATGATGATGGTGGTGATAGTGATGATGATGATGGTGATAGTGATGATGATGATGGTGATAGTGATGATGATGATGGTGATAGTGATGATGATGATGGTGATAGTGATGATGATGATGGTGATAGTGATGATGATGATGGTGATAGTGATGATGATGATGGTGATAGTGATGATGATGATGGTGATAGTGATGATGATGATGGTGATAGTGATGATGATGATGGTGGTGATAGTGATGATAAAGATGATGGTGATAGTGATGATAAAGATGATGGTGATAGTGATGAT